GGAGGGATCTGTTTACAATGCAATCTGACGAAGTCACTTTTCTCCTTAAAAATCTTCCGCGGCCCCCATTGTCTTTCAGTGGAATCGATCAAAGTGGGTTTGGTGCCACACCAGTCTTGCAGGACATTTCACAGGTATGAGATTCCGGAAATGCTGCATACCAAATGCCCTTCTTTAAGATTCATAACATACATCAGCATCTTAAAGATGGTTTCATCATCCTAAACTCCAGCATCTTGCTCTCTAACCACGCCCACCTTCCTGCCAGCCCCCAGGATACACGTTCTTCAACTTCACGGGACATCCGGAACTCGAGCCCCTCCATTTTCTCCCCGCCCCAGTCCTGTCAGACCTCCCTGGAACCTGCTTCGTGCCCAGCATCCCTTCTGTGCAGCCTGACTCACCTCTCCCATTTCCAGAAGGGGCTATTCCAAGGCCAAGAGCCCAACCTTGCAACCTTCCTCTCACTCTTTACAGAAGACCATCTCCTACTTAATGGGGAAAGGAGAGAACTGAGGAGCTCCCTTCACTTCTAGCCCCCTTTCCTCTTGCCTCCCCCTGAAGGTACACACCTGCACCTGCACTCTGGGTCTCATCTTCTCTCCCCTTTACCACCTGTATCCATCTTCTCTTTCTCCTGCATCTTCTACCTTTCCTTTAGTTTCTGCCTTCAGCCTATAAATATCAAACCTCCTCCACCCAAAATGCAAACACCCCCCAGTAGTCCTTTGGATGCCACCTCCTCTCATAACTGCTAATCTCGCTCTCTCTCCTCTCCCCCATATAGCCTTGCTTTTCTAAAGAAGAGTCTACGTTCTCTGCTTCCATTTCACTCTTTCCATTCCAAACTCAACCCGTTGCAGCCTGCTTTCAGACTCCACCACCTTCTGACACTGCTCTGGTTGCAGTCACCTGAGTCACCTGTTCCCTCCCCTGCCTCCATGAACCTCTCTGGAGCAGCTGGTACTGTTGGCCCATCCCTCCTTTTGTTTTTGTTTTTGTTTTTTTTTTGTGTGTGTGGTACGCGGGCCTCTCACTACTGTGGCCTCTCCCGCTGCGGAGCACAGGCTCCAGACGCGCAGGCTCAGCGGCCATGGCTCACGGGCCCAGCCGCTCCGCGGCATGTGGGATCCTCCCAGACCGAGGCACGAACCCGTGTTTCCTGCATCAGCAGGCGGACTCTCAACCACTGCGCCACCAGGGAAGCCCCCATCCCTCCTTTTGTACAACGCTGTGCTCCTAGCTGGTAAGACATCCCCCTCTGCTTTTCCTCCTGCTTCCTTTGGCTCTCCCCTGCTCACCTGCCCCCTACACGCTGAGAGTTTCCAAGCTCCACCTCAGCCGTCTGCTCTTCCCTATCTGTGCCCTGTCCCGGGACATCTCACCCACACTCATGGCTTCAACTGCCCCCCGCATGCAACACCCACACCACTGTCTTCATCTCAGATCTCTCTCCAGAACTCTAGGACCACACTGCCCGCTGCCTGCTGCGTCCTGGATGCCCCAGACAACTCACACCCAACACATCCCAAACAGGACTGATCTCCTGCCTGTGTGCTCCCCTAGCAGCAAGTCAGACCACCAAGTGTACAATCCGGACACCAGGGAGTCACCCTGGTCCCTTCCATCTACTTCCCCTTCCCCTTCCCTGCCAGGCGTAGCTGGTCATACAATATGGTGAGGCCAACCTGGCTGTACAAGGAGAATCACCCTGAAGACTTGTCAAACAGAGCTCCCTGGGCCCTTCCCTGACTTACTGAATCCAAAGCTCCAGGGCCAGGCCTGGGAATCTGATTCCGAGAAAGCACCTCCACGTTGCTGGGATGCCTGGCTCACGTCACAGACTGGTGTTCAGGAACCACCATTCTCTAACCCGTCCCATTCCAGGCTCCACTGCCAATAGCACTTCTGCTCGCCCATGCAGGGCACAGCTTCCTCCCTGGGCGTCCGGCAATGTTTGCTCCATCTGACCGATCCTCCACAATGAAGCAGTGGCAAATTTACTTTCCCCAAAATGCCATGGGACCATGGCTCACCTCCGCTAAAACCCTTCTATGTGCCCCCCAGGAGCACTGCTTCGTGGCCGTGTGCACTTAGTGGAGTGACTTCTGCTCACCTATGTCACCTCCGGCCTCACGCTCCTCAGACAAGGCACTCCAGCCATGCCAAAGGACACGTGGTCCTCAAACACGCAGCCCTGTTCTACAGCTCCTGGCTTTGCACATGTTCTTTCTGATCACACCCCCTCACTCCCTTAGCCTCTCTGGATGGAATCTTCTTCTTCTTTTTTTTTTTAGCTGTGTGTGCAGCTTGTGAGATCTTAGTTTCCCCACCAGGGATCAAACCCAGGCCCCCTGCAGTGCAAGCGTGGAATCCTAACCACTGGACGGCCAGGGAATTCCCTTGATAGACTCTTAAGGCTCAAAACAGGCTGGGCTAAAAGCCTGCCTCATAGGCACTATTAGCCCACATGGAGATTGCAGATTTTCTAGGTTTTTTCCCCCAGTTAAATGTTGGACCCTCAAGATAGGACCTGGATTTTGATTGGTCACTATTTCCAGGGCCCAACCCAGTTCCCAGCTCAGAAAGGGGGCTGGCAAGATTAATGAATGGAAGGGGGAAACGAGAGAAAGAATGAGAGAGGGCAGGGAGGCGCGGAGGATTTGGGGTGATTCTGCCGATCTGTCCTGAGTCCCAGGCCAAGAGTTAGATCTTCCCCCCTGGCAGGAGCCTTGCTCTGGATCCTCAGGCTGGGTCCGCAGAAATAACACAGTGGTAGGGTTTGTGCTGCCCTTTGGCTCTCGGGTTCCCCTAGTAGCCAGGCCAGTGATAGGAGCTGCCCTCCCCCACTCCATGTGACCATTCATAACGTTTGGGGCATCTGAGAAGTCTTAGCCCCTCCTGTCTGCCCTGGCCAGCTCTGAACTTCATTAACAAGGACAGTGGGTTCACAGGACCCCAGGACAATCTCACAGTCTGATCTGGCCGTGCCCTCCCCTTCCTCGATCCTTCTCCCACCCTTGCTCTGTGCCTGTACAATGCACCAATGTCCTCCATCATACCAGCCCCACCCTGGGGGTGGGCCCCTTCATCTGACCCCTCTGGCCCCATCTTCTCTATTCCTTTACCATGACTTCCCCTCCTGCCTCTTTTCCTCTTTCCCCCTTTGCACACCTGCCAGTCACCCTTACAGCTTCCCCTATGGTCTTGACTCATAGCATTGCTGCCCTCCACTGTCCAGCTCCAGCCCCTCCCCTGCCTGGTCTGAAGATGGTGGAGGCCATGTTGCGGGGGAGAATTGGATGGGGGCAGAGGCTTGTGTTAGATGGATGGCACCCCTGTTTTGCCTCCTCACTGTACAGATACCAGACGCTCTCTAAAGTGGGTTGGATTCTGTGGCAGCCCTATCCTCTGCCTCCCACACTCAAGATCAGGTACATAATCTGTGGATCCGGTGCAAAATGAAAATACAGGACCCCTTGCCCCAAAATGATTAAGAATTTCAAGATGGCAGTAGCAGATCATTGAACCAACCACTGGGCCCTTCCAAGTGCATGGCCCCGTGTGACTACATAGGTCTCACGTCCATAGAGCTGGCTCTGCCCACATCCCTTTCCAGCTGGTGATGGCTCCTCTCCCTTCTACTGTCCTCAGCTGCTTTCTAGGACAGCTCCTCAGGGCCTCAGGGAAGGAGCCCAGCCCCAGACACCTCCAAAGGTCCAGAGCCCTGTTCAGCAGGCACTCAGCACAGATTCCTGCAGTCCCTCCGGAAATCTTCACACCTACACTACCTCTGGGCTGCAGGACACATACACCCTTCTCAAATCAGTGCTTATTGATTGAGCCCCACCTGGCTAAGCCTGTGGAAGAGAGGACAAGTTGATAAACGCTCAGTCCCTGCCCTCCAGGAGTTCAGTTTATAGCACGATTAAAACTGAAAAAAGAGCAGGACCAAACACGGATTCTGTGGGTTCAGAGAAAAATAATCATATTTGATTAGGAAACGAATTTTCAAAAGAGACAGCATAAAGATGGACTTTCATGAGTGGGCAAGATTTTATTAATCCGAGGAGTAAAAGGGCATTCCAGGGAGAGGGCACAGCAGGGGCAAAGGCTTGGAGGTGGGAAGATGCATGGCAGGTTCTAGAATCTTGAGTTATGTAGTTTGCCAAGGCATACTGATGGCCGAATAGTGGAAAGAGACTGGAAGGGAATTTTAGGGTCTGCTGTGGACAGCTCTAAGAGCTGCGGTGAAGTGTCTGTACTCCTGTACTTCCGTAGAGGAGACACTGAGGGGGCTTTAGCTATGGTGTGTATTTGGGATCAAAGGGAGAAGAGAGAAGACTTCCTCCACTTGGCCCTCCCAGCCTGCCTGCGGGCACAAAGCCTCACTTTTCTGCAAAACAGGCCGCTCCTACCCAGGGTTCTGGAGCTTATTCAGTCCACCCCTCTCGAACCGCAGTATGTCTGAGCTACCCGTAAGGGTACAGCAGCCTGGGCTCCCTCCCGCCCTACCAACGTGGAGGACCCACAATCTCGCGCGATCCTGGGTTCTGAGCAGCAGCGCCCAGACGGTGCTGGAGTGGTTTGAGGTTTTTTCGCCACTTGCTCCCATGGTCCTGTTTGTGGTGGTGGTGGTGGTGGTGGTGGTGGTTGTGATGGTGTTATGGAGGTTGGGGGGTTAGGGGGGTAAGAGGGGTGCGGAATAGGATCCCGGACTGGGAGTGGAGGCGACTGGGAGTGGGGAAAGGCTCTCAGCCCCTGGTGGACCCACTACCCGCTTATTTTAACTTTATATTATGTATATTCTCAAACAAATGCAAAAGTAGAGGGAATGGTATAATGATTTTCTCAAGTCCCCACCGCCTAGCTTCAACAATTTGCCCCTCTTGGCCAATCTTGTTTCAGCTAACCCTCTCCCACCACCCACTTTAAAGAAGGATGTGAGTAGCCTGGGGGTGGCAGAGGCGCCCCCCCACACCCAGAGTTGTAGGAGAGCTGGTGCCAAGCCTGCACCACTGGAGACTGGAACGCCAAGGGGCAGAGTGGGGGGCACGGTAGGGCTGGGAGCAGGGCTCACGCTGGGTAGGGGCCGCGGGGGGCGGGGGCGGTGCTGGCGGGGCGGTGCTTGGAGCAGCGCGGGGGTTGGGGGCGCTCTCCCGGAGACTCAAGGCGCGTGGGGCTGGGCGCAGAGCCGCAGTCTCCGCCTTGCAGCTTGGAGTGTGCCCGCTGCGCCGCAGCTGTCCGTGCCTGCCGCCACCTTCCCGCCGCCGCCGCCACTGCCAAGATGCCCAATTTCGCCGGCACCTGGAAGATGCGCAGCAGCGAGAATTTCGACGAGCTGCTCAAGGCTCTGGGTAAGCTGGCGCGGATGGCGTGCCCCGACAGGGAGTAGCAGCCAGCGGTGCCCCCGACCCGCAGAGGGTGGGCTTTAGGGACCAACACCAGGCAAGAGGGAGTCCCCGGTGCGATAGTTTGGGGGCGAATTCCAAGGCACACCCCATCTAGAAGTGGCGAGTAGAGCCCGGGATCCGCGCATCCAGAGAGCGTTTGCTGGATGCTTGGCGCTTTCCCCGACGGTTCGGCCTTTATCTCGTGCTAGCTAATCGCGAGGAGAGGTTATTACTGAAGTCCTAGGTGGGTCAGGGACTTTAAAACTGGCGACTCAGTTTGAGACCAGGCCCTACCACGAAATACACTGTGCTGCTCAGGGAAGGCCGCTTACCCTCTCTGAGCCTCAGTTGCTCACCTCGGAAAAAAAAAAATCAGGGCGAGGGCAGGGGGAGGAATGAATCAGTTTTAAGGCCCCCATCTATATATAGTCAGAGGGTTTGAGAAGTGCCGGGCCAGTCCTGGGACGACTGGTGGGTGGCGAGTCCCCGTGAGTCGCACCCATTCTTCCCGGCGCAGGTGTGAACGCCATGCTGAGGAAAGTGGCCGTGGCGGCTGCGTCCAAGCCGCACGTGGAGATCCGCCAGGACGGGGATCAGTTCTACATCAAGACATCTACCACGGTGCGCACGACTGAGATCAACTTCAAGGTCGGAGAAGGCTTTGAGGAGGAGACAGTGGACGGACGCAAGTGCAGGGTGAGGCCCCAGAGTCTGGGCAGCGTTCCCACGTCCCCGCTCCCTAGTGAACCGCTGCAGCCAGACGAACCCCCGGCTCCTTTTGCAGCCAGTGGCGCCCTTTCCTTGCGGGGCGTGTGCACCGGCTGTTTGAAGAGAGGATCTGTGCACCGCGTTGCCCTGGGCTCAAGAGAAAGGCCTACCCCAACCCCTCCCCAACTTCATCCCTAAGTCGCCTTCCGAGGTGCTAACAGCCGCGCCTAAAGTGCGGGCTCTGGGTTGCACCGCGTTCCTTTCAGGGGCTTCCGCAGCAGCGTTTTGCTGCGATCCTCAGCGCGAGCGCAGGAGGCGGGGAGGAGGAGGAGGTTTCAGGGCCACCAGGTTCCGTGGCCGCGAGGCTGCCACGTTTCCTGCCGCAGGTGGAGCGGCAGCTCTCGAGTCCCGCCCGCCCGGGTCCCTGGGCGCCCTGAGAATGCTCTGGATCCAGTTTCAGCGGTCTCAATGGCCCCGGGACCTCTCCCGCCCGCCCTCAGTTTGGTTTCTTAAAGGAAACGACGGAATCTTTCCAAAAGCAAGGCAGATTCTGCCTGGAAAATGGACTAAGTGCTCTCTCTTAGTCCTCCAGGGCAAGAATTCTGTATTTCTTTGTAAATAGGTCCCAGGGTGGATGAACGGGTGGACTGAAGCAAGGGGTTGTAAATTCCTTTTTTAGATGGGCAAAAATTGCATTTGGTTGGTCTCTGGAGTAGAATGGTGGGTTGGCTCCTCATGGATTTTGAGGACAGATGGAAAAACAATTCGCTGCTGCTACCACTTAGTTTAAAAGTGACAAAATGTCTCCCTCCTCTCCCCAAGGTTTAAAGAAAGAACGAATAACATTCCAGAGAGTGAGAAATTGTTTTTCACCTTTCCTGAGTGGTGCCTGTCTGATCTAGAGTGGGACTCTCTGGGCATGGGGTTTGGGAGGACACAGAGTCACAGACCCCCAGGAGCACGCTGTCCCACAAAGCAATATTTGGCCCCCAGATTAGCACAGCCTGAAAATGATGTCCGGGCTCAGAGCTGGCAGGATTGGAGCCCCAGCCACTGCACCGTTTATAAAAACAAAAGAGCAGGACAGCTTAGAGGGAAGGTCTGGGAGTCTTAAGGTAGAAGCCCTGGCGATAGGCAGGACTCAATTTGGGGACATCCAATGGTGACTACTGCCAGAGACAGTAATTCTGGTTAAAAAAGAAAAATCAAAGGTTCAAGCGACAGCCTGGAGAGTGGGGCTTTATCCTGCCCTGCCTAGTGAATGTGTCCCATGTGTTAGTTAAAAAGCAAGTATGTGCACATTCAGTACAGCCTCGGAACCCAGCTGTTCAGCATTTTGCTTTGTGCAGACGCTGGGGAAAACTGCAGGGAATCCCTCCTTTTGCCTCCCACCTACAACAGAATGAAGACCCTTCAGACTTAACAATTTTTTTTTCTAGAGACATGTAACCTGGGAAGTGGCTGTGTTTTTATCCTCAGAGTCAGAGACACTCAGGTTTATCAGAGCAGGCTGTGTGCTGCGTTTGATGAGTGCAAACAGAAAGGAAGGCATTATCCCCAAATCCATGCAAGGAACAGATCTCCTGATCTGCGGACTACAGATGTGGTTACAAATATGGTGTCTTTACCATTCTAAAATTTTGTACTTCTGATATGAGGAGCTTCTTGCCTTGAATAGCCAAATTGCTTGAAGGGATCGTCCATTTTGACATAAATGAATCATTGTGTGCCCTCAGTTTTACTCCTGGAGGTGTAAAATGTGCCTGAGGCTTTGCTGCTTCGGTGAGTGTGTGTGTGTGTACTTGTGTAATACAAGGTGTATTTATACCCCATAAAATCCGCAGTCAGCCCTCTGAATTTAGGCTAGATACAGCACAGCACAGAAGGTTCTGAGCCCTGCTGACAGGGACCATGTGTTGCTTCTCTGCACAGCAATTATTCTCCCATGCTCATTGTTGTCTCTGCTCCCACTGCCAAGAGTGTAATTAACGTCACTAATGGTTTTCCTGCCCGCAGAGTTTAGCCACTTGGGAGAATGAGAACAAGATCCACTGCACACAAACTCTCCTCGAGGGGGACGGCCCCAAAACCTACTGGACCCGCGAGCTGGCCAACGACGAGCTCATCCTGGTGAGCGAGGCCCCTTGACCCTGAAACAAGCCCTCAGTTCTCCAGATGTTGCCTGTGGGGGGCCCCAAGATCATCATCTTCACTCATCCATTCAGGGAGAGACACTCTTTGCCCTGGGTTAAAATGTGAGCAGAAAGCTTGAGATGACAGTTTAGGTCAGAGGAAATCATTGTTAGATGGTTGGCAGGAGAGAGGAGTGGCTCAGAGGGCAGAGCAGGGCCTAGAGACAGGCTGCCTTGCCGGCCTCTATACAAACCCATGCATCCCTGTGGTGACTCGCTGACTTGCTTAAGCCGGCCTCCCCTCCAGCCGGGCTCCGAATGCTTGGGCTCTGGGAGGTCCCAGCGTTCACTCTGCAGAAGGGATTCCCCCCACTGCCCCACCCCCTCCTCATTCCCCATTTTGCTGCCTGGGAAAGATTTCAGAAATTTTAGTATGCCTGCACTGAGAGCCTTAAAGAACATTTTTACCCCCGGACTTATAAACTCCAATGGACTTCGGGAGCCAGACAAGTATAGTGATGCTAATTTGGGGCAGTCACAGTGTTAACACAATGTGGAGGGTGGGGCCTTTAGAACCGAGGAGGGTGGACTCTACCTTAAAGGTAATCAGATCGAAACATTTTAAACATCCCTGGCCACACAAAATATACCTGGTGAGGCCAAGTTAGAAACCCCTGTAGTTTAATCACACACCTCCTCCCCCTTTATTTAGGTACAGGGGCAAAGAGGACAGAGGAAAGGACACCTCCCTGCCACTCTCCCTTTGTGTTTCAGAACAGACCAAGCTTTCCTTGTAATACCCTTCCCCGTCCCCCCAACGCCCCCACTAGAAAAGGGGAACGCTGTTGTAGGTAACCAGGAAATGATATCCTTTGTTCTCCGTCAGACCTGTTGTTAACATCTCCACTCAAAGACTGCCTGCCTGCCCCACCCTAGCAAGTGTCACCCTGAAATGTCGGAAAAGGAGGTGGCAAGGAATGCTAGGACAGGACTCGCTGTGTGACCTGGGCATGGCCCTTCCCTCCCTGAGCTGTAAAATGAGGGGTTGGACTAAAGTTTGATCCCTGAGGTCTCTCTCAGCCCTGAAATTACGTGTTTATTCTGCAAGAGGACCCTAAATTGAACTGTCTCTATTACTTTAACGGAGGCTGCTTGATCTCACTCGCTCTCTCCCCTTGTCCTTCCCTGAGATGATTTCACATACTTTCTTTCATGAGAAGGGACTGGCTTCATTTGCAATCTGGTTCATGTTGTTTCAAGGACAGGAATAGTTGATGGGGTTGGGGAAGCAATTTGAGGCTGAGACATGGAAATTTAGGAGGAAAAGGCACATAGCGTTCATTGGTCCAGGGATAGAAAATAGGGAGATGATTTTAGAGCTCTTGAGTGTAGCTAAGGGTTAAGTAGGCTCCGTGTGGTCCGTGAGAAAGTGTGATTTTATTAATCTCAGTAGTATCTGAGCAGCCAGCGCATGGGCCCAATTCTGCTAGGAGAGCTCCACCACTTCCAAGTCTCCCACTACAGCTCCACCCGTGCATCCTTCCCTGGCTCAGCAGACGCACATATGAGCCTCAAAGGGCGGATTCATTCTTGGCATTTGGGTTCTAAAATGTGGGCTTTTGTTCCAAGGGTTATTATCATTAATAAATCCAAATGTAGGGAGATGCTGTCTCTGTATAACAAGAGGAAATTTATTCTAGTTCACTTAAATAAGCTCTCCCAGCACCCCCAGCTGTAAATTGCCTTCCTTTGAAAATTGAGTGTAGTCCCTTAAACGACTCGGGCACATTATACGAGAGTTTCTTTCAGGAACCTCTGAGCATAGTCTGCAGGCTGAGAAGGACATTTCAAATGGGATTGGAAATGTAGCGATTTCTTCTCGTTGCGTGAAGCCATTTGTTGGCCTGGGGGAGGTGTCGGTCATTCCAGCACAGGTATAGAGTCCAATCCCCAAACTCTGGCCTTCCACGTGACACTCCATGGCCATAGAGCTGGAAGAGTTTCAGAAAACTGACAAGGTTCTGAGCGGTCTGGACATCTGATAGGTGAATTTCCATGGGAACCCCCGCTTCACCCTGCCCCAGCACCCAGCATCATCTGCATTCCTCACTAATAAGGAAAGGGAATAGGACAGAGAAGGTGTCCAGAGCAGGTACAGCTGTGCCGGTGTGATCAGAAGTTCCCTACTTAGAAAAGAGGGTGGTGATGAGCATTTGCTTCCTTCATAATCACTAATGACTAGTATTTCCCTGAAACACACATGTTTGAATAACGTCCCAACTCATGTTCCCTGAGAGCATCTCATGGTCAACTGAGGGACCTGGGGAAAATCCAAGTATATTCAAGCTCTGAGTTCAGGGCTCTTAACTTCAGGCCCCTTTGACAATCTGAAAGATAGGGACCCTCCCACAGAAAAATGTACGTCTGCAAACAAACATATCTACGTCAGTCTACAGAGTGGGGAAATTCTGTTTGGTTTTTTGTTTTAATTTTGTGGTTTTTTTAACATACATATTGCTTTCTCTGTTCCAATTGCCTGTGAGAGACCTAGGAGAGCAGGCCTATAAATAATTGCTAGTTTTTGGAAGAGTTGAGACAGCTTACTTACAGTGATATCATTTCAGAGGCCAGGAGAAAGCCGTGCTCCTCCATTCGTGGAATGATCTGTGTCCTCCCCACAGCAAACAAACAAACAGTCACAGAATAGTAGCTGAAAAGAGCTGTGGGATCTTGTTCAATTGCACCCCTCCCCTCAACTCCCTCCCCCCTCCATCCCCAAACTGTCCAAGAGACCAGAGCAGTGCCCCAGCTCACCCAGCTGTGAGTTGCAGAGCTGGGTCTGGATGCCAATGACACTGTGCTTTTGCAGTTGAGACCATGTTTCTAGCTTGCAGGTAACCTGAGTATTACTTATACAACATCTCAGGCGTCTCCCAGGCTTGACAGTTGCTTCCTGGAAGGTACTTCTACACCCTCCCTGAAGCTATCCCACCTGGCTGGTCAGTGCTGAACCCCAGGGCTCCAGCTGCCCAAGCCCCTTGCTCTCTTGAAGTCACTTGAAAAGAGACAGAACCACTTCAGAAATGTCCAATATGGCATACTCCCCGCCACCCACTTCAGTTTAATTTAAAAAACCAAAGCCAGGAAACTTGCATTTTTTATGTCAGCATTCCCAGGTTCCAGAAGTAGTGGAAAATTGCATACAACATAATTCTATACCCCTGTTGCCTCTCTGCCAATACAGAGTGTAAGGGAGGAAAAAAAAAAAGAAAAAAGAAAGAAAGAAAGAAAGAAAACCCTTAGGGCTGAACATGAGTGCACCGCACAGGAAATTGAATGTCTGTTACAGAGTTTTTAACAGGGCAGTAAGTGGCCTTATTAGCGATCTGCTTTAAACATTTTTGCACAGACATCTGCACTGATTGGTTTTCCTTCTCTGCAGACGTTCGGCGCCGATGATGTGGTCTGCACGAGGATTTATGTTCGGGAGTGAAGGCGGCTGGCTTGCTCCGGCTTTGGGGGTGGATTCATGTTCCCCCGAGGAATGTCATAGTTCTGAGCTGCCAGTGGACCTCCTCTTCCCCAGTATCAACATTAGGTGATCCTGTTTTCCCCACGATAATGCTGTAGTGTTTCCCCCCAAGGCTTCGTGCCTCTGTGTCCCTGGTGCTCCATAGTTTGGCATCTCTATGGTTTCATCAGCCATTAAACTGGTTGTACACACCTCAAGGCTTTCTCCTTCTTTGAACTGACTCTTCGGTTTCCACACGAGGTCATGGTGTACCTGTTGACCCCAGCACTGCATTGGTCTGTGTAGTGATTTCTGCTTCTGCCTGCTGCCCAGGTGCAGTGCTTGGAGCATACGGCAGGGGTTGTGAGCTGGGCTTCCTCTGACAGGATTCACACTGCAGATCCAGGTGTGTCTGGATCTCACAGTGTTGTTTTTTAATTGAATTAGCTGATATATTGGTGGCTCCCAGCAGGAAAGGGAGGGCATATTCAGAAGGGTTAACTGAGGAGAGCTCAGAATGAAGGGACTATTTGCACAGGCATTTACATGGACGGGATGAAGAGAACCAACAAAGGATGGTGAGACACTCAGAGACAAGCAGCAGGGAACCGGTACTCCCCTAGACAGAGGAATAGAGGGGTCACCAGACCACAAGAGCTATAGCCTGGGAAAGAGACCACCACCCTGTAGGAGCTGTGGCAGTACACAGAGGAATGTGATCACTGCCAAAACAATGGCCCCAGTATGTGGGTAGATGGAGGTTCAGAGGGTCGGGGGAGAGTCTCTGGCTTGCAACAAGGGCGTTAAATATCCTGACCTCCCAATTTTCAATCTCTGATCTATCTGTTCTAACCACTGGCCAAACCCATCTGGAATCTAGAGGGCAAGAGAGTGGGGAGGGGGAGGGAGGGCGAGGGTGCTGCCCACAAGAGTCACCCTCCCAGGACATAGCCAGGAGAAGAATGGATCCCAACATGCAACAGGACAATGATCCACAGTCGCCAACTTTAGCATTTGAAAATTAGATTTTACATGAAAATCTGGACTTCTCTTTCCTTAGGAGAAAAATTGGGAAAATCTGGCATCTCTCATGGGGCCACAGGTGGCTTGGCAGCGTCCCCCTTTTTAAGTGGAACTTACACCCTCTGCCTCCCCATGGGCCCCACCATGGCCCCTGCCCTCCTTTACGTTGACTGCCCGGCTTCTTGGGCGTTTCTCCTTGCCATCCTAGGCACAAGGGTTCTTGGCAAAGCCAGGCCAGAGTTGGCTGATCAACAGTGTTTGGGCATGGATGAAGCCAGAAGACAGGGACCCTTAAAGAGCTCACACCTAAGCTGATGGAGCCGACACCTAAGGCCCAGGTGCCACCACCTGAGTGTAAATGAGGACACCTTTACCTGACTTCTCACACCTCTGCAGCCCAGAACCCTACTTTGCTCATGGGGGACCTCAGCCTCCTCTCAAAGACTCTATTGCTTACATCTAAGAGGAGTTGTCTGATGACTTCTTGGAGGAAAGGGGCTGGAAGGGGAGGACCTGGGCCGCTATGCAGCACCACTGGTTCACTTAGACTCAGAACATAGTCCGTAGCCTGTTTCTCTTGAATCCCGTTCCTTCTTCATTTTCCAGAGGAAAAGGCACAGTGTTTCTCATTCCCTCTTGGAACACTGCTCATGGGACCTTCACGTTCCATGGAACCCAGTATGGGAATCGCTGCTATAAACTTCAACCTTAAAATATTTGTGTGTACGCACATTGCATATGATATATAATATACACATACATGTAGGATGAACACCTACACAAAATATCACTGTCATCAGAATAGTCTCACTAGAATGCTGCTCTAAACATGTCACTCCCCTGCTCAGTAATCCCCATGGTCAGAAATAGAAAGGTCAAACCCTGGCCTGGACTTCAAGCCCTCCAGGACTTGGCCTCACCAGGTAAAACAGAAAGAATGAGGGCTTTGGTGTCTGTCAGACCTGGCTCCAACTCCTGGCCGCACCTTTAGTTTACAAGTGCTAGAAACCCAACCCCAACCAGCCCCAACAAAGAAGAAGGTACGCTGCTACAACGGCTGGACCTTGGAAATATTGTGCTAAGTGTAAGAAGCCAGTCACAAAGGACCACATAGTGTATGATTCCATTTATATGAAATGTCCAGAACAGATAAATGCATAGAGACAGAAAGTAGATTGGTGGTTGCCTGAGGCTGGGAGTGTTGGGGGAAAAAGGGAGTAAAGAGTTTCTTTGGGGGGTGAAGAAAATGTTCTAAAATTGATGTGGTAATAGTTGCACAACTGTACAAATACACTAAAAACCACATTTTAAATAGATGAATTGTGTGTAATGTGAATTATATCTTAACAAAGCTTTTTTTTTTTTTTTAAGGAATGTGCTGACCTCCCTGGTTGTGAGGAATGCTAGGGAAGCTCTCAGGACTCAAGCAAAAGCTGCAGGAGCTGGGCCTTAGGGCCTAGAATCTGAGGCAGAGCCCCTTCCATACCTCTCCCTCCATCTCTTACTCCATTTTGATTTCCTTACAGAACTGGTTCAGGTCACATGACCACCCCTGGACCAATCACAACTGAGGGGAATAGGGTACAGTGATTGGCCAGGCCTGAGTCATATGACCTCTCCTGGGCTAGTGGGCAAAACTGTTAGAAAAGGGAGAAGAGGGGAAAATGAACTGGTAGGCAGGAACTGTGATTAAGCTATCCTCCATGCTGACTAGCAAACCTTGGGTAAATTATTCAACCACTTTGAGCCTTGGCCCCTTGCTATTGTAAAATGAGGACAATAAAACCCACTTGGCCTGGTTGGTGTGGAGATGAAAGGAGTTAAGGTTTGTAAAGTACCAAGAGCTTTATAGAGTCCTACATAATCCTTGCCATCCAGCCACATGGGTCCAGACCCTGATCCCACTCCTCTGAGTGGATCTTTTTTATTTTGAAGGCCAGCACCCACCTCCTTTAGGGCATCTTCTCTCCCTGTCTCTTGCCCCCACATTAGGCTCACAATTACAGACTGCTTTGTGCAGGCAGGGCTTCTATTGTGGTCCTGTGTTGTCATTCCACATCTCCTTCGTTTCTGACATTTTCCGCCAACCAGCCTGTGTGGTCCCAGAGTCCAGGAATGGTTGCTTAAACATCCCTGCTTCCCCCCGCCGCCCCCCCCCCGCCCACCGCCGACTCTACCCCAGCCCTCCACAGGGCTTGGCAAATGGAGATTACTCTGTAAACATGTGCTGATTATCTGACTGATGGAGGCCCAACATTTTTTTTACAAGATCCAAGCCTTCCTGAATGGATGTCCACAAGGAAAGGCAGACGTAGGGAGTAAACAGCAGTGCTCAACTCAAACACCATCCAACACCAACAGCAAGAGTTGTCTCTACCCTCAGGTAGATGGTGTAATACACATACCATATTATATCTCAGAGGCAGGGGGGCAGAGATTACAAGACCCATTTAAAAGAAAAGGGTGAATAGTGCAGGAAACCCTGCTCAGGAGCAGGAAAACTTGGAAGAAGCAAACTTACTGATTGCCTGTCCCAACAGCTGTCCCAAACCCCTCTCTCCCTTGCCCACCTCCCACAGTATAGACTGGGAAAGTCAATGCTTATTCTCCCAGCTTGCATTGAGTTGAGTATGTGACCCAGTTCTGGCCAATGAAACATAAATGGAAGTCTTCTAGGGGGCTTCTGAGAAAGACTTTTTCTTCCTGATAAAAGAGGAGAGACTGAGGAGGTAACTTCTCTTTACTGCCTCTAATATGGTGTGAAATTGTGATGCCTGGAGCTGGTGTAACCATTTTACAACCACGAGGAAAAGAGATGCCAGCTCAGAGTCACTGAGATAATACAGCCCCTAATTTGGATGTACTGCTATGTGATTAAAAAAAAAAAAAAAAAGCCCCTGTTTGCTCAAGCCCGTTATTCAGTGGCTTCCATACTTGCAAGTAAAAGCATTGCTAACTGATACATGGAAAGAAGGACAGGGGTCTGTCTGACTTGCAGATTTCTAGGAAGCCTTGTCTTGATGATGACCACCAGTGCTGTGGAACTGGACAATGTGTCATCTTGCTCAAAGGAATAAATAATGTCAAAATATTCTATGGGGGCTTCCCTGGTGGCACAGTGGTTAAGAATCCGCCTGCCAATGCAAGGGACACAGGTTTGAGCCTTGGTTCAGGAAGATCCCACATGCCACAGAGCAACTAAGCCCGTGCGCCACAACCCCTGAGCCTGCACTCTAGAGCCCGCGAGCCACAACTACTGAGCCCGCGTGCTACAACTACTGAAGCCCGAGCGCCTAGAGCCCGTGCTCTGCAACAAGAGAAGCCACCACAATGAGAAGCCCGCGCACCGTGACGAATAGTGGCCCCCGCTCACCGCAACTAGAGAAAGCCCACGCAGCAGCGAAGACCCAACGCAGCCAAAATATAAATAAATTTTTAAAAATTCTATGGAAGTTAAGACCCCATGCATATTATAACATCTTTCTCAAGTCCCTTTTACTTCAGTCCCTTCTCCTCCTCATGACAGCCAACATTTCCACAAGTAAACAGCGGATGTTATCCAAGAAAATGTAGGGCAGCCAACCTACAGATGCAACCTTCGCGCCACCAACCTAACACCTCCCACCACTTTCACAGACATCTGTCCTCTAAGAATACACTCCAGGGCTCTCCCCTTCTTTACTGTAACTGCCCATTTGTGTCAGGAAAGTCCTTGGATCTTGTCAAAAACATCCCTTGCCTCTATATCTGTCCTCCCCAATGTCCAGCAAACACTCTGCACTAAGATAAAAGAAATGCAGTATGTCACTGGGTGAAAAATTAATCTTCACAAAGTTCCACGAGGGTCAGATAAATGTAGGTCAGAGTAGAGTTGAAATCTTCTCTGACTGAAAACCCTTAAATTGGATGGACAGTTGTGCTTATCCCAACCCATCAGAGCCCCATCACTTGTAAGCATACTCAACCGTGAAGAGATGGAACTCAGAGAGGGGAAATGATTTGCCCAGGGTCATCACTTTAGGTGCTCATCAAGATCAGGGAGACTTCCTTCTCTGGATTGAGGTTTGTTTTGTTTGGGTTTTTTTTTAACTCTTTATTATAGAGAATTTCAAGGAAATTTAAAAATAATTCCTAATATCATCAAATATCCTGTGAGTGTTCAAATCTTCCTGACTGTCTCATAACTTTTTTTTTC